GAATCTCTTCCATCTCTCCCTTCAAACCCCGGCGAAACATTGTTTGGACCAACCATACTCATAATCGACGCATGTGAAAAGCTTCATACCCATAAACGATAAAAAAATCATAGACTACTTCACCTTGCAACGCCAACATCGGCACTAAAATGAGGAACATTGAAACACACCATATATGTATAAGAGGGATGTAGAGAGAGAGAGGGAAATAGAGAGGGGTAGAGAGAGATGGATGATTGTCGGGATGAATATTGAAGGAGGGTGTGAGATTTTAATGGGTAGGAAATCTAGGAGGAAATGGCGAGATATATGAGTAGAAATCCGTTGACACCAAAATGAGAGGCCCTCCCGACTGCCAATGGCGGAAAGATCACTGCTCCCACATGTCCGACATAACACGTGCCCTTCCACCACGTTGATAGAAGAGACAAAACCCCTTACACCATTATCAACGGCAGAATCTACGCGTGATCTAGTAAGCCCGACAAATTTTGTCCCGACATGACATCGCGTAACCGTTCCTGTCCTTCCACCATCCTGCATGGTGGACCACACCTCCACCACTAGACCGGCGTGGCCTTCATCCATTTGCGTCAGATATATGCTGCTTCCGCCATCTATGTTGGTGGGGGACCCTGCTCTGCCATTTGGCATGGCAGAATTTGAGACCTAGCCAACCTTCCACCATAACATTTGTAGCAACCAGTTACAAAGGGGGTGGTTTCATCATTTTGGTTGGGAAGAGGGTCATTTATGTAAAAAAATCCAAAGCCGAAATACCTGAGTCCAAGGTTTTATTGTGCAAAACTCTAAATCTGAAGATGATTTTGCGTCGCAAAGCTCAAAACCTCTCACCCGCCGGTGCGGGACTAGGTGGGCCCACACGACAGCAGCTCGCAAGATCTTTGGCGCTAAGAAAAATGAAAATATGGACGCAATTAAAATCACATCTAATAATCCATCTGTTCCATCTCTCCCTTCAAACCCTAAAGGAATATTGTTTGGGCCAATACCCATAACTAACGCATATGAAAAGCTTCATACCCATACATGACCAAAAATCCGTAGACTACTTCACCTTGTAGCATCAGCACCGGCACCAACATGCAAAAATGAGGAACATTGGAACACGTTGTATATGTGAGAGGTGGAGGGAGAGAGGGAGAGAAAGAGAGGTGATTGTTTGGACGAATATTGAAGGAGGGTGAGTGAGATTTTAATAGGTACTCCCTTCGTTCCAAAATAGATGACCCAACTTTGTACTAAGTTAGTATAAAGTTGGGTCATCTATTTTGGAACGAAGGGAGTAGGAACTGTAGGAGCAAATGGCGAGATATATAAGTAGAAATCCATTCACAACAAATTGAGAGGCCCACCCACCACTGCAAATGGCGGAAAGCTCACTTCTACCGCATGTTCAACATAACACGTGCCCTTCAACCACCTTAACAGAAGAGACAAAACCCCTTACGCAATTATCAATGACAGAATCTACGCGTGATCTAGTAAGCCCGATAAAGTCTGTGTGGACGTGTCGTCGCATAACCATTCCACACCTTCTACCATCCTGCATGGTGGATCGCACCTCCGCCACTAGACCGATGTGGCCTTCATCCATCTGCGTTGGCTCTATGCTGCTTCCGCCATCTATGTTGGTGGGGGGCCTGCTCCGCCATTTAATGTGGTGGAATTTGATGTCTAGCCAACCTTCCATAACATTTGTAGCAACCAATTACAAAGGGGGTGGTTTCATCATTTTGGTTGGGTGGAGGGTCATATGTGTAAAAATTGAAAGTTGAAACACCCGAGTCCAAGGTTTTATTTTGCAAAACTCTAAATCTGAAGGTGCTTTTGCGTCACAATACTTGTAACCTCTCACCCGCCGGTGCGGGGCTAGGTGGGCCCACACGGCATCGGCTCCCAAGTTCTTTTGTATGAAAACGAAAATATGTGCGCTAGTAAATTAAAATCGTATCTAATCCGTAGACTACTTCACCTTGCGGCGCCAACATCGGTAGCAACAGGCAAATGGGGAACATCGGAACATGCTATATATGTATGAGAGAGAGAGACGGTTGCTTGGATGAATAGTGAAGGAGGGTGAGTGAAGATTTTAACGGGTAGGAACTGTAGGAGGAAATGTCGAGATCTATGAGTAGAAAACCACTCAAAACAAAATAAGAGGCCCTCCCACCACTGTCAATGGCGGAAAGCTCACTGCTCCCGCATATCCGACACAACACGTGCCCTTCCACCGCCTTGACAGAAGAGACAAAACCCCTTACGCCACTATCAGCGTCAGAATCTACACGTGATCTAGTAAGCCCGACAAAGTCGGTCCCGACGTGCCATTGCGTAACCGTTCCCACCTTCTACCATCCTGCATGGTGGACCGCACCTCCGCCACTAGACCGATGTGGCCTTCATCCATCTGTGTTGGCTCTATGCTGCTTCCGCCATCTATGTTGGTGGGGGACCCAGCTCCGCCATTGGGTGTGGTGGAATTTGATGTCTAGCCAACCTTCCACCATACATTTGTAGCAACCAATTACAAAGGGGGCGGTTCATCATTTTGGTTGGGCAGAGGGTCATATGTGTAAAAATTGAAAGCGGAAACACCCGAGTCCGAGGTTTTATTTTGCAAAACTCTAAATTTGAAGGTGCTTTTGCGTCACAATACTTGTAACCTCTCACCCGCCGGTGCGGGGCTAGGTGGGCCCACACGACAACGGCTCCCAAGATCTTTTGTATGAAAAACAAAAATATGGGCGCAAGTAAATTAACATCGTATCTAATCCATAGACTACTTCACCTTGCAGCACCAGCGCCGGCTCAACAGGCAAATGAGGAACATTAGAACATGTTGTATATGTATAAGAGGGATGGAGAGAGAGAGAGGGAGGGGGAGAGAGAGAGATGATTGCTTGTGTCAATAGTGAAGGAGGGTGAGTGAGATTTTAACGGGCAGGAACTCTAGGAGGAAATGGCGAGATCTATGAGTAGAAAACCACTCACACCAAAATAAGAGGCCCTCCCACCACTGCCAATGGCGGAAAGCTCATTGCTCCCGCATATCAGACACAACACGTGCCCTTTCACCACCTTGACAAAAGAGACAAAATCCCTTACGCCATTATCTACGCGTGATCTAGCAAGCCCGACAAAGTCTGTCCTGACGTGCTGTCGCGTAACCGTTCCCCACCTTCCACCATCCTGCATGATGGATTGAACCTCCGCCACTAGACTGATGCGGCGTTCATCCATCTGCGTTGGCTATATGCGCTATCCGCCATCTATGTTGGTGGGGGACCCTACTCCGCCATTTGGTGTGGCGGAGTTTTACGTCTAGCCAACCTTCCACCATAACATCTGTAGCAACCGGTTACAAAGAGGGTGGTTTCATCATTTTAGTTTGGCAGAGGGTTATATCTGTAAAAGTTCCAAAGCCGAAACACTCGAGTCCAAAGTTTAATTTTGCAAAACTCTAAACCCGAAGGCGCTATTTTTGCATCACAAAACTCATAGGGCCAGTTCTTTTCGGCGATTCTCCCAGAATCGACCCCTCCCCAGCTTCTCTCAGAATCGCCACTCCATATGTTTTTTACAATCCTAACTAATTAGACCTTAATTAGATATGATTGTAAAAAAATATGGAGTGACCCATAATGTCACCCGCAGGGCCGGACCAGGCGGGGCCACACGGCAGCAGCTCGCCAAAATCTTTGGCGCTAAGAAAAACGAAAATACGGGCGAAATTAAAATCGCACCTGTAATCCAGCTGTTCCTTGAACCCTTGACAGAGGATATGCACGAACGCTGCTGCCCGCAAAAATAAAAATAAAAATGCACGAACGCTCCGTTTGGCAAGATTAAAAAGCCAAAAAGGAAACATGCTTTTGGCGCGCATCGAAAATCTTGGCATAAAAATATTGGCGCGGGAATTCTCTGGCGCGTGTATAAATAACGGAATTCTAGGGTTCCCTCCCCAGTTCCCCATTGCTCCTCTCCATCTCCTCTGTCTCCCTCGATCCGCGCCGCAGCTGCCCCCACCGCCCTCCGCCTCCACCGAAGCAGCGCCGCCAACCGACGCCCTCCCTCTCTTCTCCGTCCGTCCATCCCTCGTCGAGCCAAGCTGGGAGTGCTGGGGGGATCTCGGGGATGTTAATCGGCGACCAATCTTCGGCTGAATCAAGATAGAAACAGGTATCGTGCCCTTTCCCGTCGCAGATCTGGTTCCGGTGCTCCTCATTTTGCCTGTTCCGCGGTCCAATCTATCGTGTATGCAATTGTTCTCTCCGATTGATAAGTTGCTATTAGGCGTTCGCGAGGTAACTGCTAGGCGTTGATTTGTCGTAGCATCTGCACGACCGTGCAATTCTTCATGTATTGCGAAATTAGGGATGCGTGTTTCTGAAATACTTTTGGTTTGTCGAATTACTAATCTGGGTTACGGTGGTTATTAGCATGCCGCCAATTGCTGTGCGGCTCCCGTCTACGCGTAATCCATATATCTTCATCGATTCTGTAATGTATATGAAGCATAGTTGCAGATCAGCTTAATTTTTTCTTAGATTTTTTTTGCAGGATGATGTAATTTTGTCTTCTTAGATGATGTAATGTTTTTTTAATCTAAAGCACATATGGCCTGGAGCACGTCTTTGCATTAATAAGATGACGTAATGTTGTAATCTGACTTCTGAAAGCGTCCTGTTCCAATTGTATGTTCTGCTGCTGCCGCTGTCACTTCTTTTGTGACTAGGCCCCTGTTTATTCTGAAATTGTCCAACCTTTAAATATTTTACCGAGTGGCAGGATCCTTTTGCACTCCTTTTTGTTGTGTAGTTCTGTAAAATGTCTTTTGTTATTTATTGAGTACTTTATGTTAGTATCTACCGTTATACTGACCTTTTCTCTGTTGCAGGTTTTGATACTGAAGTCTGGGGGAGTAGTATACTCTGTTTGAGTATACCATTTAGTTTTGGAATAAACCACTTCTCCACATGGCGGGGGCTGAATCCGCACTACCCGCAGTTGATCATGTGGTGTTGGATAACAGCGATACTGAAGTCTCAGAGGTCGTGGAATGCGATTCCACAGTTGTAGAAGTGCTGGACAAGAGTGCCGGTGAAGAAGTTCGTCTGCAATTTCCCTTGGGAAATAAGGAAGATGTAGAATCCCTTGGCACAGTTTGTGATCTTGAGAATAATGAGGGTAATGTTGCTGAGGCAACCACTCTGAATGTGGTTGCACTAGAAATGTCCATCTCTAGCAAGGTTTCAGATGAAAGTATTTCACTGGGTTGTCAAACACCAAGGGGAAACATCTTTGACCCCTTTGCTCCAGGACCAGAGGAGGCGCTCTGCGGTGCGCCGAAGAAGAACGTGGTTAGGGGAGTAGAGACCCTCTCCCGCAGAAAGCTCATCTTTGAATCTGATGACTTCCCAGTCAAGAGGTTAAGCTTTGAGTTTGATGATTCAGAGGAGGAAGATCTGTATCTCCAGGGGATCTGCAAGATGTTTCTTGATCTGATCATCTCAAACCAAGCGCTGGAGGCAACCGGAGACGGCGAGGCTGTTCTGATAGATGCTGCCATCCCACCTGAAAGCTACAAGACCCCTGAATCAAAGCCTCTGCTCACCGGCATCGCGGACACCTGCCCGGACGCTCCTCTGCGGCCATCTCTGAAGATGATCAAGCTCAGCCCGGGCATCTGCCGGAAGCTCGACTTCGGTTCGGTCAGCCCCAAGACTCTTTTCGCTGAAGACAATAAGAGCTGAGCCTGTCCCCATCCTTGGGGAACATGGTCTTGGTGCGGCATCCTACAGAGGCATGTCAGCGTGGTGACTTTGCTAACTCTGAAGCTGTACAGAGCTAGCGGTGATGGTTGAGTAGGAAGCAGCCTTGATTAAGTTATACATGTAAAATCTATGTTTAGTTTTCCTTTGGTTTTAGCTAAGCCCAGTCTTACTGCCCTGATTGATCATTGATGTAGTAGTACCGGCTCATGTGCCTTGTGGGCTTTCGGCCTAGCGTTTTGTAAATCTTGAAAAATAGCTTGTTGTCTCTCTGTGCTTGCCTTGAACTGAAGGAACTGTTGCAGATTCATCCTTGCTTAGCTTTTTATCTTTGCACCTTGACACCGAAATGATGCAGTGGCGAAATCGAACATGGCTTGGCTTGGTTTGATGCGACTGGTGTAGGGTGAGTTGCTGGCGTACTGGTGTTAATTGTGCTGAGCTGTAATTCATCTGCCTTATTAATTGTGCTGTCCTGTCACGATTAGTGATGGCTGCTCTTCCTGTTAATTTTAGCCGTCAGATAGAGCTTCAGATGGATTGGCTGACGGCCTCGATTTGTCCTTGCCTTTGATACCCTTTTTCGTTCCCTTCGCGAGGAAAAGGGGAGCTTTCATTGATCAGAGGAAAAAGGACTACACACAGGGTTTATTTTTCACTGCTTGTATGTTTGACCTGTATTTGCCGACATATTTGGTGGCATCACGAATCCACGATGTTGTAACCTGAAAATTACTTTCAGCACAGGTGACAGGTGGCTTGGCTTTAAGGATTATATATAGAGAGTAATCAGAGGATCAAGTGCTCGGGGAAGGCCTCGAAGCGACCCCGTAACAGCAAGCTATATAAGCATAATATAGGATGAGGTCGTGCTTAGGATTCGTGCGCTCAAAGCAAGAATCTAGACACATGATGTGATGATGATGATGTGATGAACAATAAGAGCAAGACATATCCGTGTATACTAATCAATCCACCCTGTCTGTCTCTGTACAAGAAAATTCCATCAAAATCGCAAGACCAAACCCAGCACTGGAAACAGCTAAAAAGACAAATTAATTCTACCCAAGGCCGAGACTAACTACAGCAGTAGGAGTACTATACTGATGAAATGATGATGAAGCGTCATCGGAAATTCCAGAAACACCTCACCCTTTTCTCTTCTCTCCGTGATGACAACGATGTCGCCGGCCCCACCCACACGTGCCGTGCGTATCAAACGAACACGGCACAAAAAAGGTCTCCTCCTCGCCTCCATCTCCGGCGACGCCCGCGGCGGAGACGGACAACTATCGTCGAGCGGACGGACGGACGAAACGAAGGGGAGGATCAGAGCTTGGTGTGGTCGCGACACTCCTGGCTGCGGACGCCCAGCTCCGCGACGCCGAAGACGAAGCTGCAGTCGGAGTAGGCGACGGCGTGGCGCTTGAACACGCCGAACACCGCCACCCGCCCGGGGATCCTGGTGCTGGCCTCCAGCGGCAGCGATCCGGCCTCCACGTCCGCGACCAGCTGCGCCAGGTCCCCGGCGAACCGCTCCGCCTGCAGCGTCAGCGCCAGCTTCACGTCCGCGTCCCCCTTACTGGGGACGCGGCCGGGGTCGATCTCGGCGTCGCCGACGTGGGCGCCGCGGTAGGTGAGGTCCGTGTGGCCGCCCGTGGGGAAGGAGAAGGAGGCCGGGTTGGGGTTGTGCACGGACACCGTGATGAGGAGGGTGACGTTGAGCTGGATGCTGAGCGCCGGGAAGGTGAGGCGCGGGGCCACGCCGATGAGGCGCGTGGAGACGAGCCGCGTCGTCGGGTCCCGCACGCGGAGCACGGTGAGGAAGAGGATCAGGAGCACGACGGCGATGAGGACGAGGGTGACGGCCAGGCACGCGCAGCAGAGGCAGCCGCGGCGCCGGCGCAGGCGCTGCTTCTGGTGGCGCGGGTCGTCGACGGGCGGCTTGGAGGTGGCCGTGTGCGTGGGGAGGCCGCCGCCGGTGACGCTGCCGTAGCCGTTGGTGGACGCCATTGGTTGGGGCGGGCTCGGGATGCTGAGAGAGATCGAGGGGGTTGCAAACTTGGAGTGGCGGCGAGCGTGCGTGCGTGCGGAGGTGGGGGTGGTTTGATTCGATTTTCCGGTGGGGATGGAAGGATATCAATGCCCGGATGACGACTTTTATACTGCTTCTAAACACGGCTACTAGTGCAAATGCGAATCGATTTTTCTGAGTTGTTTCCATGTACGCAAAATATCGTTTCTGTGTGAAAACTACAAATATTTTGCTTTTAAGGATGTAGTTATAATTTTCCTTTTACAGCACGCGTGAAACGGGGAGGCGGATCGAGCACACCGATAGCACACAGCCTAGTGATTCTACACGATCCCAACGAAAGAAAAGAAAAAAACATGTACTACACGATCACATCGGAGTGGTTGTTGATGGTCTTCACAGGAGTCTCACATAGTGTACTCCAACGGTTGGGTGTATGGCTGGGCGTTGGGAATTGAATACTGACGGGAACATCACAGGGTTGGCTCGCCATGGGCGGCGCCGCACCAACCAACCAGACCGGCGACAAGGAGCGCGAAGCGAACTGACACGACCCCCACTACGCAGGGCTGGGCAGGGACGAAATAAATGGCCGCGCTTTGGGCGGGCAACGCGTCGTGGTCGCCGTCGTCGCCCGACGGGGCGCGCCAATTAGTCCTCCAGTTCCGTTGCCCGTACACGTCCAGCACTTTTTTTTTTTGACGAAAAACAGCATTGTGCTGATTTCATTCATTAAGATAGGATGAGACACCCCAAGAAATACATGTCAAGGTTCAGGACGGCTGAAGGCCAGAAAGGGGAAGGAAAAGCTATACAAATGTACACTAGAAAAAGAAAGAAAGAAAGAAAGAAATTATCTCGCGCCTGTCCATTGTGCTCCTTTGAATCCAGCGATTCTCCAAGAATTCAGCTCATTGATAATGTTCTCAGCGACCTTCAGGAAGTGGTTTGCCTTGTTGTTGAATATGCGGCTGTTTCTTTCTTTCCAAACCTGCCAGGACACCGTCATTATAAGTGATGATAGGTCCTTTTTCCTGCCTGTACGATCCAGAGCCTTTAACCATCAGTCCAATATAGAGCCAGTATGAGCAATAGGTAAGAGGTTGAATGGAAAATTATATATCGCCAGGCAATAGCCCCAAATACCAGCCGTGAAGGGGCAGCTAGATACAAGGTGCAGACCATCCTCCCACCCTAAGTGGCATAATTGACAGATCGGGTTGTGAGGCCAACCTCGCTTCGCAAGGTTGTCCGCAGTCAAACATTTGCCCTGTACAAAGAGCCAACTAAAGAATCTTATTCTTGGTGGAACCTTGATATGCCAAATGATCTCAGGAAGAGGAGAATCAATCCTGCCCCAGAATTGACATAGGTAAGCTGACACACGTCCAGCACTTACTCAGCTGATGATCGCTCCCGTGTTTCCACGCTCCAACCGGTACCAGCGATCCTCCCGTTCTGTTGGTATCGCGGTGTCATCATGTTTCCACGCCCAACCGTACCAGGATGGGGGTCATGGAGGCGGACATCACGGCCAGCTCCAAGTCCACCGTTGACGTCCACAGACGGATCTCCTCTTGGGCATCTCAGGATTCTGTCTTTTGGAACATGCACTAGTTATTAGGCCAATTCCAACACGCGGGAGCAAATCAGATGTCCGTTTTGTCCGGATTATGTTTGCACCGGTAGAACGGATATGCGTGCCCGGATGCGGTCGTCCGGCCGTTGGTGCGTCCAACCGGCTGCCGCATCTCAAATTTTTGTCCGCGTAAATTTTGGCCTATATAGACATTGTGAATATAAAAAAACGATCCACAAAGTCTTAAGGTCACACATTCAAACTAAACTTGAAATTATATTTTAAAAAACACAAAACTAGATTTACGGCGTCGCCGCCGTGGCCGTCTTCCATCATCCGTGGTGAGGTCGATGCAGGGCGGTGGCTGCCATAGGTGGGCAGGCGGCCCCTGCGGCGGCTGCCAGGCGGGACACGCCCGCACCACTTCTGGCCGTGGCAGTCAGCGCCCACCCACTCGGGCGGCATGGACACATACTCCGGAATGCAGGGCACCGTCTCCATCCAGTCCAGGACTGCCCCACCAAGGCCGCGACGGGTGGCTTCTCGAACACCTCCTCCATGGCCTCCTCCTTGAGCTGCAGGTCCAGGATGGTAACGTCGTCGGTGGCCGACAAAGCCACCATCTCGTCGAGGCCCTCCCATTCGGCGCGGTCGTGCTCCCGAATAGAGTCCTCAAACACTCTCCTCACCAGCTCCCCCTTCTTATCCTTGGTGGACATGGTGGGAGGTGGTGGTTGCGGGGACGGCGAGGGAGAGGGCGTCGGTGTTAGCCCGCACACCCACGCATGACCGCGCGACTGGGGCGGGCTAGGAGCGCGTACGCGGCTGGCAAAGCACGCCCGTGGTGGGTTCGAAGCACGACCGACAAAATAGGATTGCCGCAAAGGTCGTTCTCGTCCCGGAATCATGTGTTCGAGAGCGGGGAATCGACGGCATACCTGGCGCTATTGACGAGGTCCAGCGACAGGCGGGCACGGCCGCTCACCGAGGTCAACGGCACGGGCACCCGGTCTGCCGTCAGGTGCCAGTTGTTGGGGAGATGGACGTCGCTGAGGGAGTCCTGGACTAGGGGGTCCTCGGGTGGCCGACCTATTGTTGGGGAACGTAGCATGCAATTTTTTAAAAAAATTCTATGCTCACGCAAGATCTATTTAGGAGATGCATAGCAACGAGAAGGGGAGAGTGTGTCCACGTATCCTCGTAGACCGAAAGCGAAAGCTGAAGGAAATATGCCCTAGAGGCAATAATAAAGTTGTTATTTATATTTCCTTATATCATGATAAATGTTTATTATTCATGCTAGAATTGTATTAACCGAAAACTTAGTACATGTGTGAATACATAGACAAACTAAGTGTCACTAGTATGCCTCTACTTGATTAGCTCGTTAATCAAAGATGATTAAGTTTCCTAACCATTGACATGAGTTGTCATTTGATTAACGGGATCACATCATTAGAGAATGATGTGATTGACTTGATCCATCCGTTAGCTTAGCACGATAATCGTTTAGTTTGTTGCTATTGCTTTGTTCATAACTTATACATGTTCCTATGATTATGAGATTATGCAACTCCCGAATACCGGAGGAACACTTAGTGTGCTATCAAACGTCACAACGTAACTGGGTGACTATAAAGATGCTCTACAGGTGTCTCCGATGGTGTTTGTTGAGTCGGCATAGATCGAGATTAGGATTTGTCACTCCGTGTATCGGAGAGGTATCTCTGGGCCCTCTCAGTAATGCACATCACTATAAGCCTTGCAAGTGATATGACTCCAATGTATCTATAATTTTTGATTGTTCCATGCTATTATATTATCTGTTTTGGATGTTAATGGGCTTTATTTTACACTTTTATATTATTTTTGGGACTAACCTATTAACCCAAGGCCCAGTGCAAATTGCTGTTTTTTTGCCTATTTCAGTGTTTCGCAGAAAAGGAATATCAAACGGAATCCAAACGGAATGAAACCTTCGGGAACATGATTTTTGGAACAAACGTGATCCAGAGGACCTGGAGTTGACGTCAAGAAACAGACGAGGAGTCCATGAGGCAGGGGGGTGCGCCTACCCTCCTGGGTGCGCCCTCCCCCCTCGTGGCTCAACCGACCTACTTCTTCCTCCTATATACACTCATATACCCTGAAAACATCCAGGAGCACCACAAAACCCTATTTCCACCGCCGCAACCTTCTGTACTCAAGAGATCCCATCTTGGGGCCTTTTTCAGAGCTCCGCCGGAGGGGGCAACGATCACGGAGGGCCTCTACATCAACTCCATGGCCCCTACGATGATGTGTGAGTAGTTTACTTCAGACCTTCGGGTCCATAGTTATTAGCTAGATGGCTTCTTCTCTCTCTCTTTGAATCTCAATACAAAGTTCTCCTCGATCTTCTTGGAGATCTATTCGATGTAACTCTTTTTGCGGTGTGTTTGTCGAGATCCGATGAATTGTGGGTTTATGATCAAGTCTATCTATGAACAATATTTGATTCTTCTCTGAAATCTTTTATGCATGATTGGTTATCTTTGCAAGTCTCTTCGAATTATCAGTTCGGTTTGGCCTACTAGATTGATCTTTCTTGCAATGGGAGAAGTGCTTATCTTTGGGTTCAATCTTGCGGTGCTCGATCCCAGTGACAGAAAGGGAAACGACACATATTGTATTGTTGCCATCGAGTGTAAAAAGATGGGGTTTATATCATATTGCTTGAGTTTATCCCTCTACATCATGTCATCTTACCTAATGCGTTACTCTGTTCTTATGAACTTAATACTCTAGATGCATGCTGGATAGCGGTCGATGTGTGGAGCAATAGTAGTAGATGCAGGCAGGAGTCGGTCTACTTGTCACGGATGTGATGACTATATACATGATCATGCCTAGATATTCTCATAATTATTCACTTTTCTATCAATTGCTTGACAGTAATTTGTTCACCCACCGTAATACGTATGCTATCTTGAGAGAAGCCACTAGTGAAACCTATGGCCCCCGGGTCTATTTTCCATCATATAAGTTTCCAATCTATTTTATTTTGCAATCTTTACTTTCAATCTATATCATAAAAATACCAAAAATATTTACCTTATCATTATTATCTCTATCAGATCTCACTCTCGTAAGTTGACCGTGAAGGGCTTGACAACCCCTTTATCGCATTGGTTGTGAGGTTCTTATTTGTTTGTGTAGGTATGAGGGACTTGCGTGTGGCCTCCTACTGGATTGATACCTTGGTTCTCAAAAACTGAGGGAAATACTTACGCTACTTTGCTGCATCACCCTTTCCTCTTCAAGAGAAAACCAACGCAGTGCTCAGGAGATAACAGCAAGCAATGTGACTAATGAGTTAGTTACGGGATGTTGCATTACGTAACGAGTAAAGAGACTTTC